AATACATCCATGTGTAGATACACACATGTCCAACGAACCTGTTGAACCAAAGAGGCAGTAGAGGAAGCCATTGGACCCTGCAGACCACGGCCATCTGGCCAGGACTCTGTACAGACGACCCTGCGATGGGGACTCTGGGTCACTCACGGGAACTGCATCCACTCTTGCTAGATAATGATAAATTGTGAGTGGTAATTCTATCTGGACAGGGAAGGCAGTGAAATATGTTTCCCTCCTTACTCTCGTGCACGCAGATAATCCCAGAGGGGACTTTGCAAATTGACAGCCAATAAACCACTTCACCCAGCAGGGAAATAGGGGAAGTTCCAGGGTGGAATGATAACATGCACGGCACAGAGTCTGTACAATAAAAAAACAAGCGAAATGCTCCAGCCGATGGAATTGGGAATTTTGCGAAGAAAGAATTTTGGGGGTGCTGATTGTTCCAGAATTACAAAAAGCAAGATCTTTAAAATTATTAAACAGCAAATTCAGAAAATATTCAGAGAATAACACAGATCTTGTATATTACACAGGGTTCGGCACATGGCATATGATCAATGTGAAATGAATTTTTAAAAAGAAAATGTATTAAGTTGAGTGCTGCTTCTCAAATAAAGTAAATAGATGAATTCATATCTGTCACAGCATTTATCAAACTCTTTTAAATTGGGGAGCCCAGGGAATAATTAGATCTAATACTGTGGAGGATAGTATTTTGGATGTATGTATGACTCAGTACTTTTCTGGTTGATCTTTTTTTTCCCTGAAATTGCCACTGTTTCTTTGGAGTTACTAGCTTTCTTAAACACCACCAACAACTTAAATAGCGAGCCATCCCGTTTTACATCCTTGCTGATGTCTTTCTAATAACAAATGTCCCCATTTCTGGTAGGCGAAATACTGGTGTTTTCATTCAGTACGCCATGGCTCAAGGTCATGTAGTCAAAGTAGAACAATATTAATTTTCAGAAAACTTGAGAATTAACCATCTGAGTAAAGAGACTTATGTACAACAAAAAGTGTTTTCAACTCAGGAGTTCAGAGCATGCATTTAGGCATTCAACCATACATATGCGGACATAGCCATGGAAAATAATCTATATTAAACCGCCAAAAATATAAACAGCTGAGAATAAAAAGTATATCCCCATTTTCTTTATAAGATGTATTTGAAAGGAAGATTTTCCTAGTAACTGCAATGACATTGTAGAGAACGTGTTGCCAGGGGAGACGTACTGACGTAACAGCATCTGGCCCATGGTTACGGGGGGGGGGGCGGCGCAGGGCGCGGGGAGAGGGACCCTTCCTGGCAGTGACATAGTTTTGGGAAGCCAGGAGAACAGCCCCATTTCACTATGCTCGTGTTCTATGCTTCATCATGATTCTCAGTTTTTCCATAATTCTGCAACTTGAAATGAAAGCCCAATTAAAACATTGCTTTTACAAACTATGGTCGAGGTAGTTCTTGTTCTTTTTAAAGAGGCTTTTCCCCCCTTTTCCCACTGATTGCAGAACTTAATTTCTTGATTATCATTGCCTCTCAGCATGACTTCACTGACGTTTTAGGAAGTTAAATGATCTGTTGCCATAGATAGCCAAAAAATGTTCACGTACTTTTAAAGCAGTTGTAAGGAGGAACACTGCCCGACATGTCCTGACCACCAGGGGACCGCCAGTAGCAGGTTATTTGACTCCTTCCCGAGTAATTCTGACTCTCGGTGGCCAGTAGCTGCTCCCGCCTCAGGCCTTCCCCTCTAGCATGTGAGCTGTCGGTGGGCTGCAATCGTCCTGGTCGCCTGCTGGCGCAGTTCTTGGCTCTGCTGGCCTTGCCTCACCTCAGCCCCGTGCCCCTTGGCTCCTGCACTATGGCCGCTGCAGTTTCTTGAACAATCTAGGCTCCTACCTGCCCTGAGGTTTTTGCACGTGCTGTTCTCTCTGCCCGGAATGCCTTCCCCTCATTTTTCATCTGGTTATTTCTTCTTCTCAAGCTTCTGCTCCTTGGGGAAGCCTTCCCTGGCCTCCCAGGACAGACAATGCTCTGTATGATTTCACGACCTCATCACACTCTTTGTAGGATGATCTGCATGGTTATATATATGGTTATTGTTAGTAACCCTGGTTACGCTGCCTTGTTGCAGTTTGCTGAGGAGGGGGGTGCGACCCCGGAAGGCCCAGTGCAGGGCCTTGGGTGGATGTACCCCACACCCAAACTCACAACAAACTTAAGGGCTGATTTAGCGAGAGCTGGGACTACCAGTAGTATCTTCAGCAACTGTGAAAGCTGGAGGCCAGATGTACCCGTTTTCATTTGCTGTCCAATGTTTGTTTCCCCTGAAATTAATAACTGTCTTTCCCCCCTTTTACTTGGTTTTCTGACCAATTCATCCCCAAACTCGGCTCAGGTTGTATGTGTCTCCCACCCTGTGTTGTGACACATGAGGTGCTCTTTGGCATTGACTTGTCCACTGAGCAGCGTCTCCCAGAGTCTTCCAACCGGCTCCATGTGGCCGGGCGCCGCTCAGGGCCCACCGCACAGCAGAGCTGGGCCCCGGTCCGTCCTCACTCCTTGGCCTTTCCTGGTGGCTAAAGCCTTCTCTTCAATGGTTTGACAGTGTGATCGACACGCAAGAGGGTTGGACTTTTCCTGTAAATCCAAAGGCACTGAAGGGGTGAGGGGCATATAGAAAACAGGCTTCTCCATCAAGGCCATTACATTGTTATTTTCGGGTCGTCAAGGAGGGCCGCAATGGCCTCATTAGACCAAAGGAGAGGAGGCTTGTGGCGCCTCCCACACAGTCCCACTGCAATTTTGGGTCCCGTGAGTTCCCTTGGGTGTGCCTCCTCAACGCCGGGGCCCGATAATCCGAATGTAATGGATTTTACAATTTGACAACCCACAGGATTTCGGGCCTGACTTTTGACAACCTCGGCTCTGTGGCTGCATGAACTGAACATTCTTTTGGCCTCATCATCAAGTTCCTTGTTCCCCGATCAAGACTTTAGAATTTGGGCTGCGTGGGTGGTAGCTGTCCAGGGTGGTAGAGGTAACTAGCGGACTCCACCGTCCTTCCTCATGCCTTCCCTAGGGTTGAAATCTCTCCCCCAAACCTTGCCTTCATTCTGGGAGGCCCACGCTGAGACCCTGTGTCCAGCTGCTGGAGCATCGCCCCCCAACCCCTCACTCCTCACTGCCTTCACTAGATGGGATAATGAGTCCAGATCGTATCTCGCGAGGGCCTGTTGTTTGCAGTCACTCCTCATCCCAGCACAGATCAGATAGGATTCTCAATTGCAACAAACCAGAACACACATCGGCTAGTGTAAGTACAAAGTAAATAGAGAGACCTAGAGAACGAGGCTTGGCTGTTCTGCAGCCAGGAATGGGATCATGGAAGCTCCCTTTCAGGATTTTTTCCCATTACCGAAGAATCCTGTCCAATAAAGTATAAAGTGATCTAGACTAGACTTTGAGGCAAAGCGGAGATTTGGCAGCAACCTTGGGTCAGCGCAGAGCTGGCGATAGCTTGTTATACCCACTTCAGTGGGACGCGTACATTGAATGAATGAACACGACCTCAGGGACCCAGGGCTTTGCTGACGGATAGTGGGCAATTGGGTTGATGGCGTAGACAGGGATCTAAGTAAGCACTTAGATTAATTTTATTACCATGCACAGTAACCTGATGAATAGATAGACTTCCAGGAGCAGAAGTAATCTGGTGGACTGAAAAACTCCTGATTGAATAGAGGAAGACTTCACTAACTGGTGATTTTTCTTCCTCTTAATTTTGTGTCTTTCAATTCCTCTGAGTTTGTCAGGGCCTTTTCTGGCTTAGGGAAATGGGTGGAGCAAGCTTAGAGAAGTGCATTTAATTAGCACTAGTAATGGGGGCGGGTTTTGTTCAGCCAGGAGGCATCTGGGATTGAAATGCTTGGAATCACTTGCTGGACCACTGGCCCATGTATTAGGCTCCCCGGCGCTCTCTGCTGCAAACAAATCTCTTCCTTTCTAGACTCACAACTTGGACTCTTTCTCAGCTTGGTCATTCCTGCTCTCCCAGATGTGTCTTTATTTAAAAAATACTTTGCCTATGCTTCATTGTTACAAAAGAAATACACGCTCACTGGTAAAATTCAGGCTAGGAAAAACAAAACTAAACAAACAGCAAGGCAAACACTTGGCCAATCCCATCTCCTAAAGACAAGCTTTTTTAACCCCTTGGTGTGTGTCTTTTCATACCCCCCTCTACTATGTGGTATGGATGTATCTGAATTTTAATCATAGGGGAGGACCATAAATTTTAATAGGATCAGTAGTAATTAATGAAATAGAAAGCAAAACCCAGAAGACTCGATTGGTACAACCAAAGGCTTATTCTTGAAAAAGGCCAGTAAAAGAGGTGTATCTTTGTTGGTCTCATGTAGGAAAAAAAGAGAAAAACACAGACGTGAACAGCATTTGAGATAAGAACAGGGACATAGCGAAAGAGATGCTGGAGATGAAAATTCCGAGAGGTCACAATGTGAACGTGTGAGAACGTGCCCCAGAAAGGGGAGTGCTTAGTGACTGACTAGTGGATGCCTTTGAAAGCAGCCAATTAGCACTGAGGAGTGTTGTCTATTTAATTTACCTTCAGACGGTGGTCTCAGGTGTGGCCCTGAGCATGTAGGCAGTACACAGACCAGGTGATGGCCGTGAGTGGAGGCCAAAGACCAGGAACAGCCACGTTTAGTGGGTTGTTCATGAACGATTACATGGACCCGCACATTCCCGTCTTCAACACCCTCTTGCAGAGGTGTCCAACCTTTCGGCGTCTCTGGGCCACGCTGGAATGAGAACAGTTCTCCTGGGCCACACATTAAAGACATTGTGAGAGATAATTGCAAAAATGTTTTAAGTAAACTTACGATTTTGCCCTGAGTTGTATTCTTAGCCATCTTGAGCCATGTGCAGCCCAGGGGCCGTTTGCAAAGAAATTTCAGACCAAACTCCTGAATCATTTGCAGCCATTTTTTTTTTATTCCAAGTGTATTTTTGTAAACCGCATTCTCCAAACAGTGCAAGTGAATTAGAAGTGACTGCATAGACTTTTAAAACATGTGACTTCCTGAGGAGGAACATATTCCTCCCGCCAAAACTCCTCCGTGGAAATGTACAGGAAGGTATCAGTCAAGTTCTGGATGTGAAGTTAGCGTGGGTGCCTGCCATGCAAGAAATCACTCGTAAAGCTTTGAAACTCACTCTGCCAGTCACACCGTGCACAAGAGAAAAAGAAAACCAAAACCTTAACCAAGTCAGAAATCTACATCGTTGTGCTGTAAGGAATTGCACCACGTGGGAGATTTGTTCATCATTCCCCGGATGTGCTGAAAATCAGAAGACCATGGATTGATGACAACCCTGTATGTTAGAGCTTTTCCAAAAGGACACTGCTTTTCTGCCTTTTGTCTGCTAAAGGGCCATTTCACTCAAGTTATCCTTCACAGTGACTGTAAATTTGGGGCAGTTTGAATCAGGTTATGCAGGTTTCTCTAGATGTATGTTTCACATGTATTCTATGCATAACTGTGTTCACCTGGGCATAATGCCTTACCGCCCCCCCCCAAAAAAAAAGTAGAATAACCTTGTAAAACATGACTTTGCCAGGGATGAACAGGTAGCGTACAACGCGAGCATCACTTAAAGGATCCACTATGCTTCATATTGAAAATGGGCCCCAAATGTTTCCAGGAAGCCTGAAAGTTTTGTTTCTAACCTCTTTGCCTTTGGCTCAAGGATTGAGCTTCCCATGACTTGGTGAAGGACTTCCTACCGGATTTTCTACATTTACCAGACTTCAGAATACTCCTGCTGACGTTGATGGAGTTTTCCTGACAGGCTGACTGGGAGAGCCTCCGTGACCTCAGGGGTAAGTGGTTCCAGATGTGTGCCTGTCAGTCACCACAAAGCCAGGGGACCCACTCACTTCTTCTAGTGCCTCCTGGCTCCTAAACTTCATGATTTCTTCTTTGTGACAGGTTTGGGGGTCACTGTGGGGATATTCCAAACTCTTGAGTCCCAGGCCAACTGAACATAAACAATAATTTTTAAAAAGGGGGAGGGGCGTGTGCTAACCTTGGGCTGGACTTCTCTCTCCAGCACCACTGTGCAGAGTGCTTACCTCCCCCGTCCCTGCAGCCCCACCTGCTCCTCGACATGCTCAGACAGGCAGAGGCACCGTCCTTTACAAACAGGTTCCTGGAATGGCTGCCAGTATTTGCTCCTGCCGATGCCAAGTATGATTTTCTCAGAACTGCCTTGTGAAGTTGTAGTGATCTCCCTAGAGTGTAACTACTCATGTGGGTCTACTATCTAGAAGCAAATGGATCTGGCTCTGACATTGTCCCCAGGAGCACCCAACCCCTCTGGCTGGCCAAACCATCAGCCTGCGAGTCACCCTTCCACACTGTCACAAATGTGTCTGCAACCCTTGCAAGAGGCTGATTAGTGGCCATAAAAGCATTTGGCCAAACTGCTGGTGGGGCTGGCCCAGGACTACCACCTGAGAATTTTAAGTGATTTATTAAAGGACAACATGACACAATGAGCAAAAGCCCACTGAAGGAACACTGCAAATGGGGTCTCATTTTAAAAATCCACTCTGTCCTCTGCTTGTTTAATTTCCATTTGAATGTACCTGGGGCCAGAGCAGGCTCTAGTAAGTCATGAAGGACTCGTTGTCAGACCCTCCTCTGAGCCACATGATTCTCCCTTATCAGATGGTCATTCAGCAGTGGTAATAGCAGCCTTAGCTGCTAAAAGGTATTGAGCATTCACTGCAGGGCCAGGTGCAGTGCTGAGCATGCTACAGCCATCCTCTCATTGCCCTTTTAGAAATTCACAATGCTCTCAAAACTGGGCAGCGCAGTGCATTGCTAACAAGCACTGTCAGACAGAATGCTTGGATACTGAAGGCCATAACTCAGCAGTCAACCATGCAGGGGGTGGGCGAGGAGGCTGCAGCTATGCCCAGATCCCTGTGTATCATTTCTTCATGCCTCCCCAGGTGGGAGGTGCACCTGCAGCTCTCCTTTAGCAGACTTACCTGAACTATTGGGCCATTTTGCCAGTAGGAACTGAGAGTATACATTTTATATCTCCCCAGGGTGCAAGAATATGAAGGCTCAGCTCCCTTGCCTCAGGCTGGGACAACTCTGAGATGCATCATACCCTCCAGAGCTTCCCTGCAGGATCAGGCTGAGGCTACCTACCCTCCACGGGACCTTCCCTGATATGGAACCCTTTCCTGGCTTCCTCCCCTTCCTGGTCCTGCTTCCCTCCCTCCCATACTGCTGTCCCCTGGGAACACTTCTGTAATTAAGTTACTTGCATGCAGATCCTTGCCTTGGGGTCTGCTTCTTACGAACCCCACCAAAGACACTATTTAAAAAGAAAGAACAAGTTGACAGGTCACCTCTGGGAAGGAATCTACAATTACCATTAGCTGGGACAGCAGAAGTGACGGGGAAATGGACATCTCTCAACTCAAATGACCATGCACAGGCATCACATACGACATTCAGACACAAGTCTTCCTCGATGATCACTGATTTAGTCCTTATGGTGTGAAGACTCTGATGCATTGATGTCCAGGATGAGATGCCATTCTGAGGTTTACCAGATGGCCGAATGGCGTCGCTCCAAGCCTTCTTCTACCAATCCCATTGGAAGGAAGGCGAGATGTCTGCTGTGTGGAGGTGATGCAGAGCAGACTTGTTGCTGGGAACCAGGCTTTCCATCCAGATTCCTGTTGGGAATCTTCCAGTGACGGGTACATATGAAAAGACCCAGTTCTCTAGCACACGACTTGCAACTTGACTCCAGGTCATAAGGATGGGCGATGCCGGAGGGGGCCTGCCACAGCCACCGCCTCACACAGCACTGCAAGTTTGGTGGGTCCGTGGCGTGAGGTTCCTCAGATTATTTTTATCTGCAAGTCTATTTGAACAGTAAGTCCTACAGAACAGTAAGATTTTTATCCTTTAAAATTTATATGATGTACATGTGTTGCCAGGCCAGATGTCAGTGCTTGAGTGAACTATATAACTATTTAATAGAAATAATAAAACATTGATACAAATATAAAGACATAGTCAGTATAAAAGGCTTATATTTATAAAAATACTTTTAGGTAACAGTTTTCCCCTGAGGGTCGACCACGCACATTGCATCCATAAATATTGCTCGGCTCCGTAGCTCACTTTCCCAAGTTCAGAGTTCATCTTTAAAAGGAAGTGGTGGGCTCCAGTCATGTGACCTGGCCAAGGTTGGCTGCCTCAGGTTGGCACCCGGGCTTGACAGAATGATGAGAACAGCATCAGTGGGGCCTCCGAAAAATCTGGAGAAGAATCTTTCTTCCAAATATGGAAGATACAAAGATCAAGGGTGACAGGCGAAATGGCTGGGTCACGTGACTGGCGTGGCAGGTCACTGGTTTTTCTGGACCCAGTCCCAACTGTCTTCGTTCTCTTTCCGGTTCTTCTCGGCCTCAATGATTTCTTTGTACCTTCGGCGAAAGAAGCCCATCTGAAAGGCAGACAGAGGAGGGGCCAGGTTAGAAGGATCAGGTCAGCTGTTTGCACGGCAAGGCAGCCTGGCTGAGGCAGTGGGCTGACCTATACTCATGGTCCCGGGAGGGCCTGGAAAATTCTGCAGGTTCAGCTGCATTAGAAAGGGCATGGTATGGAGCTGCTTTTCAAAGTGCACGGGCTTCCTGCAGGCTATCTCAGGAGTGAGTGTTTCCCAAACTGTGTGCTGGGGAACACTAGTTACAGAGAGTGATTCCAAGGTGTCTGGGAGTAAAATGGGCTTCCTAGTCAAATAGGTTTGGGAAATGCTGCATTCTTTCTTTCTTTAAGAGATCTGCAATAGAACAGTAAAGGATCTAATAAACCCTTAGAAAAGGATCTCAGAAACCCAGGCAGGGGCTTGACATTTCCTGAGCTTATTTGGCTTTGAATAAGCCTATTAGTATCCTGAGAGGTATAGGCCCCACTGTGGAATAATTTAATAATTGCTGCTGTCACATAACAGGCTTTTGACAGTGTCTGCAGCTCTGCCTTCCACTGTGCTGCCCTCTGGTTCTCTCTCAAGCCTGTGAAACTCGAGCTCTGAGTGTATCCCTGCCACCTGGCTCCTCTTTCTGACCCGGGGGGCAGCTCCCTTTAGCCTGGTTCTGAAAACATCTTCCCCTCTGAGGTCTTGGGGCTTGCACATGTGGTGAGTTTTTGTTTTTCTCCGGCAGTCATTGCAGGTGCTATACCGCCTGATATTTAAGCAACGTTTTGTGGCCTACAGCTGACCTCTTCTCCCATGCTCAGGGTGACCTTGCATCCCTTGTCCTTTGTCATCCAGCACTAGTGGCATCTGTTTCTGACGTCAGACATCCCTCCTGCAGGGCTGCCTGGACAGGGGGCACCCAGCTCCCTCTGCCCTTGGGAGTGATAACCCTGAGGTGCACGCCCTGCAGAGTCGCCCAGTGGGACTTGCCTGCAGGGCTAACCGACGTGACACATCCTTGCTTGGATTCCTTCTCTTCCCCGTGTCCCTTCCCTGCTCAGGTCAGTGTTTCCGGAGATCGTCTTCCAAATAATCGACCTGCCCTCAAATCCTCCTTTCAACCCCCTTGAAGAGACGAAGTCTGACAGACGCACCCGCTTGGTCAGCTGCACTGCAGGTCTGTGACACCACGCTGTCATTAGCTGACAGTTCCCGTGGTCGTATCCAAAAATACTCAAGACTAGCAATCTCTACAGTCTGCTGCCAACAGCGAATGCCCAGGTAAACCTGCCCTAAGCAAATCATCAGGCCAACCCAGCTCCCCTGGGCACGTCTAACTTCCTTGTGGTCTGTGCATTAGTCTTCCTTCTCCTTTATGAGCCAACTATCTACAGTCACCCGATGGGGTGAGCTCCCCAAGGGAGGGAGAGCACCTGGGGTCAGGGATCATCTTTTTACCATCTTCCCACCCCCAGAAGGGGGCTTAGTGGTAGAGCCAAAGTTGAGAACTATTAATAGAGCTGCCAGGAAACATCGCCCACATCTCCAAGGAATTCCTGAGGACCACTGAGTCGAGTCAGTGAGGTGGTGCCATTTGAATGACTGGGAAGGCATAGAAGTTTCCGGAACACAACTGCCAAGGGGCCTGTGTTGCGAGCGTTTCTCCTCATGGTCAGGGTCATGAGCAGACGCTGAGTTCCGGGTATTTTTGGCCACGGAGGTGTCTTCTCAGTGGCATCAGAACCCATCTGTCAGACCGCCACCTTCTGACACCCCACGCGTGTACTTTTCTGTCCTCCAATCCCTACCGCCATCCCCCGTCTGCAAGGGAAGCGGAAGGGGGGCTTGGCCTGAAGCTCCTGGATAATTAGAAAAAGGTCCTTGTCATGGCCCCCCAGGCACAGCCGCAGAAGGCCAGAGAGGCAACCCAAGATGTAATGGAAATGTCTAAGAAGTTGCTGCTTGAGGTATTGTTATTTAAAGACAAAGACTGTTAATGGAGGGAACATGTCCCTCTTCTGCACTGAAGAGAACGTAATCATGAAAACAAGTCTGGATGCAATATGGAAATGAGATTCTTTAGCACAGACCTCTGCCCGCCGATGGTGTCATGTTTCGGTAATCCCAGGTTGCTCACTCTCAATTCCAGACAAGTAACATATTTCTGCTGCCACACTAATCAAGCACAGTTTTAACTGTCTGCAGCTCCCTTTTCATCTTCTGCGTTTGTCTTAGAACTCCTTGAAGGCAGGACTTGTGTTTTCTATCCCCAGAGCTCAGCACCTCACCTGTATTTGGCATCAGTGATAAATTGCAGAGGTGCCCACCATCCTCCATTCCCCCTGGAAACATGCTCTTGGCTGTGTGACTCGAATCTGCATATCTGCACTGCCACTTGCTTTGACAACTGGATGCCATGGACGAGGTGCTGTGTCGGTTCCCCACTTAGGCCTCGGGAGGCCCTTGCACATTGCTACTCGCTTTCTCAGGATCCTGCTGGGCCGTGTGAATGAGTTGGGTCTAGCCCACTGGGGTCCCCTCCGCCAGCCAGCGCGCAACGGCCTGCAGGTGTGGGCTCACCCTGTTGAACTCAATCCAGCCCACAGAGTTGTGAGCTATATGGGTGGTTGCTGCTTTTGAGCCACTAGAGTTTGGGGCAGTTTAATGTGCAGCGTGAGTTAACTGATGCAGGGCTCCGTTTTTTTTTTTTTTTGGTCTGATGCACTGAATGCATGAACAGCCACAGGAAGGGTGGCAGAGTGGCAGCCGACAGGGTTCTAGATATAAAAGGCATCGCTGTGTCTTGTTCTGCTGAACAGACTTTCCTTGTTCATCTCTAGGAAGGACAAAAGCTAGCTCACTTTCTCCTCGTTACGCTGGCGTGAAGATTTGACAGAGTGCACAAAAACATCTAGTGAGGGTTTAGAGCACCTGGACTCACTCTCATGTGTGCTCATGTTCTACATGCATCATCTTTGTTGCCAAAAAGGAAAGGGGCCGTCATCTCCCGCTGGCGCCCAGAAGCAACTTTCTTTCACTTGGAGCGGTGTCAGCATGAGTCCTACAGTCGCCTCCTCCCTGCGTTGGCAGTGACAGCCAAGACCCTGCTAGACTCCCGGACATGGCCCGGCCAGCTCTGTGCCCCACTCTGGCACTGCAGGGGCCGGAGCACCCTGTTCCCAGCACAGCCTTGGTGTGGTCTCCAGAGGGAAGACTGGAGCCGCCACTGACGTTTGAACTTCTTGGGATCCAAACACCATTTCTCAAAACACAGTCCATGCTCAAGGTTAGGGGGTGCTGGGTGCAGTGGTGTGGGCTGTGCCCTGCATTAAGTGTGTGTTGGGTGGGGGCTCCGTTCACATAGAAGATATAGATGCGTAAATTTATTTCAACTATTTTCCAGCAGATGTCAGTAGAGTGTCTTTTTTTCTGAGGAAATCACTAGATGCTCTGAATTTCAGACAGATGGGAAGTCAAGCTTCTGGAGGAAGGGGCTCTGTGTACCCGTTTGCACGAAGGTGCGGGGTAGTCTAGTGGTGTCTCTCAAACTCACTTTGCTTCTTACATGACCAAACTAACTCTATTTCAGAAAAAAAGACAACTCCCTTTGTGCTTTTGTTTAGAGCCTGGTTTTGGCTTTCGTTATAGAACCCAAAGCCGAGGCTTTGAGTTTACCACCAGTGGCCCCCACACAACTGTGTCACGCTAGGCCTGCTCTGTGCCCCAGGAACTACTGGGAAGAGCTGTCCAGGTAAGAGACGTGGCGTGGGGATCCCAGAGTCCTGATTAGTGCTCACGCTCCAATAACTACCCCTTGGGCCCGGGACAGGTCATTTGCTGGCTCTGACCCTCTGTGTCTTTGTCTCTGAGAGACCAATGACATTCTTAGAGCTCTGCCAGCCGTGAAACACAATGGTGGCTTTTTCTGCTGGCCCCCGAAGCCGACTCAGGACAGCAGCCTGTGGGGCGTGCAGCTGTGCACTCCAGACTCTAAGAAGGGACGGGCACAGAGTCCTTGCCTGGAATCAGCCGTCCTCCAACAGATTTTGGAAATTTTTGGAAAACTGCATTTTCAACTTTTCTTTTAAAGTATGAATATACTATAACAACTTATGCAGTTTTAAAAAATTAAGGTAAATCAAGACTGCAAAGACGTTTCTCTCCCGCAGCAGGCCTTCCTTAGGCACAACCTCCCCACCCCATTCGCATTGCCGCGTGTGGTTACAGTGCGGAGGACCTTTGAGAAGTGCTGGGTGCCTAGACCCTACGTTTCTGCTGCCAGCTGGGCTCCCACGGAGCATGCTGGGAAATGATTAGTGCCAAGCGTAAGCTGGACCTTCAGCAGCCCCACAGTTCCAATCCAGTGGAGTCAATGTTTTCCTGCACTTTTTCTGGAACCTTCCAGGGATTCCTTTGCCACTTGCGGGGCAAAAGGCTCTGTTTATAACCGTTCTGTCTGTAGCAGAGAAAACACTCATGGAAATCCTGGAGGAGGAGAGATGTGAGCCAAACGCTGCTCAGCCAGAAGCTTCCTGGCTTTCTGTCTGTGAAGGTCCTACAGCCCCCCAAAAGCAAGAGCTCCCTGAGCCTGTTCACAGACTCACCCCATTTTCTGATAAACTTGTATCCAAAAGCTGCCAGAAAACTTCTAGAGAAACAGCAGATTTTCTCTGAGTAGCCCTAATTAGGGAGGCATGTGGCCTAGGAGGAAATAAGGCCTGACTGAGTTCTGGGGTCTGCATGCTTCAGCCCCAGCCTCTTTCTTCCCAGGGTATTTTGGGGTGAGTGGGAGACTGGCCTGGACTCGATGGCATCTGGGCTCCCGGGAGGCCCCGCCCCTGCCTTCCCTGGCCTCCGGGCTGCGTCCTGCGCAGCTATTCCAAGGACTTGGTGCACACTCCTCCTTGGGATGAGCTCAGGGCCTCGTGTTTATGGGTCTCTTCAGTTTCTCCACTATTTACACAGTGTGTCTCTGTCTCAAGATGTCAACCGTGCAGCATCAGCCCAATATTTATTTCCAAACATAA